CCGCGTGAAGGGAGACTTGCCCATCCTCTTAATAGCATGGGGTTATTAAATCACGATGGCTGAAGGCTTGCACAGCCGTTCTATGAACAATTGCCACTTGAAGGCGGACCCTAAGGATCCCGGCTAGGATGGTATTGCAAAAAAACAAGCAAAAGCAGCACCATGGTACCTGATACCTTTGTTCGCAATGGATGGACCGGGGGTCTTCAGTGCTTTTCACCTAATGAGTTTATAGGACCCCTCAAATTGGCGGTTTGCCTTTGCTTTCAATCCCCCAAAAAAAAAACAACTCACAGAAAAACGCCCACGATATTCTTCTCACGTCCTAGTAGCTGGAGCCGTTTCGGGCCTCATGCTGCGATGCTTCCACGAAGCGCACGGTTAAGTTGAACCCGGTCCTTGGCATCGGCGCCCGGTTCGCGGGATTCGCTGAGGCCCGTGCCGAGTGGACACCCCAACAGGCGCTGATTTAGGACGCCTGTCCAAGAAGCATGCATAGAACCACTTGCTAAGGATGAGGTGAGTCATAATCCAAACCCGGTGCTAAAGTGGTCGACCCAGAACCATGTAAAGAATTAAGAAGGCGGCCGCGGCTGCTTATGGTTGGGATTGTCCCTTACTAACCTTCATCTGCCAGGGTTTTGATGGTGGCTCAGTAGAACAAAAGGGGGGCCAACTCAGTTTCTGAAGCTGTCTTTCGGCTGGTGGCTTTGGGCCTGGTACACCTCGTGCTTGTGGCCCAGGAGCCGCATTTATTTGTCTCTTGCTTTCAACTTCTTGGAGGTACCGGAAGTTCATGTTGGGGGAAGGTGAAATGGCGGCTGTCTGAAATTCCTTGTTCCCGGACATGCCATCTTCGCGAAAAACACTTTCGCGGCCTCCATTGCGGAGGGCTATTTTCATCTACTCAAAAGTAAACTTCCGCAGCCGAAGCTCGAAAGCAGTTCAGCAGCACAGGAGCGGACCGATTGGCCACCCACATGTCAGGAAAGGCCCATCGACTTTCGCAAGACTGTTGCGGATACTCCAAACATTACCGAAAATCAAGCTGGGAAGTTGTGCTCAGGACCCAACAACTTCAAAACCCCAACAAGCCAACAAGCTGCTTCTTGCCGGGGAGTGCCTTTTGCAGCGACGTATTTGTTGTGCTGCAATCCTCAGGCTGCGCTTTGCGTGTTTCAGACAGCAAACCACCCTTACACAACACTATCGCGAGAGCAGAGGGAAAAAAAAAGGTCTTCCCCCTCACACCTGAATACACGATAATACACGAACCTTTTGGACGTCTCCCAGACGAACAAAATGCACACTTTTTGCAAACGAGCAACGTGCTGCCAAATTCTAGAACGGGCCTCTCACTCTCTTCTAGTCTGCTCTAACGTTCTCATCAAATGGTCATTCCCAGTTTGTTTCGATCCTGTTGAATTCTGCAAAAGCATTGGCACAGCTTTGAAGAAGGAGGAACCTCAGCCCGGACAGGGGTCTTCCCTTCTCTCTGAGTAACCCTTGCATTGGAATGAGCGTTTTGTTTGTTTGCTTTCATGATTCTTGTGGCGCATGCCCTCAACCAGTGATTGGGAACCCTGCTGCCAACCCCCCTCACTAATTTCAGCTTTCATCAGCAATGGGTGCATCAATCCCTGACCTCTTCCTGGCACCTGTACTGAGAAGCAGACTTGTTGTGGAGGCAAAGGATCGGAGCCTTGATTCATGCAGCAAAACGGCTGGTTTGCGAGTTGCGTCTAGCCTCTTCGGCGTGCCTAGCGCAGGATTCAATCCAGCCTGCGAATCGGAAAGGAGTCTCTTCTCTATCGTGATTCACTCCTCCAAGGGCCCAAAGATCCCAGTTTCATCCGGGGAGTCATCTTTGGACAACAACAGCCGCCTCTGCCAATTCCCTACAGATGTTCCACAACGCCTCGATCGAGACATCTAAGCCGGGTGCCAGGAAGAGAAGACGTTGCGATGCCCGCACGAGGATTTCCTGGGCTTGGGGCTTCAAACAACTCACAGCACCCAACCAGCGCCAAACGTGTTCACTGCCAGACTCGGGCTGTAAGTAACGGCAGGTGTTTGAATGGTCAGTTGTGCCACTTGCTTGTGCTTGCGCTTGAGCACGTTCCCAAGACTGTGGGCGCCCCCCAAAATCACATTCAGGACCCTGACATCGTTTATCCCAGCTCAAGTCGCTCTTGCGGCGGTTTGGGTTGGCGCGCAGTTTGGGCTGGATTGAACTCCGATGCGCGTACAAGGGCACCAACTGTTCAAAGCGCACACAAAACATTCGGCCAAACCTCTTCAAGCTGGAGCATTGATTCTGGGTCAGCTCTCAGCCAGGTTTGTCAGAAAGCCCGAAACCTAACAAATGCTCGCTCTCTCTACCCGAAACAAAGACGCATCCCAATAGCTGTTTCTGCCCACAAAAGCCTTCCACGCCACAAAGCCGATGGCTGAGCTAGATACAGCGACAGCGCCAGAGCCCGGAATGCTGACAAATCCTGAGCGAAGCCGAGCACGCGGCATGCAGGCATCACCTGAAAATGCGCCGAATATCCGGAGAAAGGCTTGAAGGGAATGGCTCTAAGCCGCAATCCTCTGACATATCGGAATATTCGGAATGCAAGCTCAAAAGGTGCCGACCATCAGAGAGTCGGGAGTCAACCAAAGGAAGCTGCATGCACGCAAACCGTGTCTGTCCGTTTTCTGTCGGTAACAGTGCAGCAGCGAGGGCAGGTGTAAAAGGTCCGCATCTTGCGGTAAGCAAGCTGCAAAAGATGAAACTCCTGCACATGGGCACATGGGCAGCTCGGCGTTTCTGCAACAACATGTTTATAGCCACAACATGTAGGGTCGCAAACGATTATTCAGTGAGATACGCAAGTCCAAGCGTTGCCCTTGCAATATGGCGGGTCTGCAGAATGGCTATTTGCCACCGTCACAGCAACCCTCATAAGGGGCGACGCCTCCTATGCTTGTGAGTGAAGCGCTGCGGACGGACATCCTTTCAGAGCGTCCGCCCGAGCAGCGTCTTCCCACTGACCCTAATATCTCTTGGCCTGGAAGAGAGTCACACGTACAACTTCAGTGGCAAGCATACTGAGGATGAGCCAGCCAATGGCCCGTGTCCATTGCAACAATATCGATACCAGAATGGCTCTTATTGCAACATCTTCTCCCTAGCATGAACTCCATGCAGCAAGCTAGGCTTGTGTCGAGCATGTTGCAACCAAAGGCACTTTCCTTCGTGAGGCAAGGGACATCTACCAAAAAAGGAAAGCACCCTGCAACAAAAACGTGGAGCACTTCTGACAAGCTTCAGGGACTCTGGCCATAGCATGCTGGCCCGAACCGGGCCAAGAACCCAACTCTTGCAAGAGGCCAAGGGCCCCTTACACTTCGAGTCATTTGGGAATGTGTCAAGTCCTTCCGAGTTTTCTTTTGGCTCGCACTTCCATTCGTCAGAACATTGCCCTGCTTTTTGACACACTCCTACAGCCTCCCCTCAGCCGCGACCGCACTCAGGAAGCCTGCAGGGCAGGTTTGCCGACAGTCCTGATTAGCCTTAAGCGCCTTTTGACTCCAACAAAGAACATAGGCTCAGCTTCGGCACAGCAATCTAAGCTTCCACTTCTTGCAAGGTTTAGGACTGGGGCCTCTAGGGCGCCCTTGACAACCACATGGTCTGCTGTACACAGACACAAAACAGAACAAAAACAATAAAACCAACAAAAACACACAACACCAAGCAAGCGAGCAAACAAACCAAGAAAGAAACAACCAAACAAACAAACAGACAGAACAACAGACAGACAGACAGGCTGGCAAGCAGGCAGACAGGCAGACAAGCAGACAGGCAGACAAGCAGACAGGCAGACAAGCAGACAAGCAGACAGGCAGACAGGCAAGCAAGCAAGCAAGCAGGCAGGCAGGCAGGCAAGCAAAGCAGCAACAATAAATGCAAAAACACAAACACAAACACCAACACAGACAGACTGACAGACATACATACAGAAAGACAGACAAAGAGAAAGACAGGCAGGCGGGCAAACAAACAGACAGAAAAAGAGGGCAGGCCAGCCAGGCAGGCAGGCAGGCAAGCAGGCAGGCAGGGCAGGCAGGCCAGGCCAGGCCAGGCAGGCCAGGCCAGGCAGGCCAGGCCAGGCAGGCCAGGCAGGCCAGGCAGGCAGGCAGGCAGGCAGGCAGGCAGACAAAGAGACAGACACACAGGCAGACCGACACACAGACAGACAAACAAACAACCACACAAAGATACAAAACACACCCACACACACAAACACGAAAACGCGCAAACACTCACTCAAAAATCAAACACAATCAATCAAGCAAACACAAACACACAAGCACACAAATCTACAAACGCACAAACAACAAATCGGCCCCCCACTGCTTTCCCCCATGTCCGAAACCCCAAGTGCTGTCCAAACGGAAGACATTGGGGGGTGTTGGAACGAACAAACAAAGAAACAAACAAATAAAGAAAGAAACACACACAAAAAGAAACCCACAACAAACAAACAAATAAGCAAAGACACAAACCAACCAACCAACCAACCAACCAACCAACCAACAAACAAACAAACAAACAAACACATAAACAAGCAAGCAAGCAAGCAAGCAAGCAAGCAAGCAAGCAAGCAAGCAAGCAAGCAAGCAAGCAAGCAAGCAAGCAAGCAAGCAAGCAAGCAAGCAAGCAAACAAAGAAAGAAATATAAAGAAACCAACAAACAAACACGCATCCACAAAGAAACAAGCCTACGCCTGCTAGGAGCAATGCTCTTCAGCCATCGCACGCCTTCAATCGCCAGGTGTCGACCCGCCAGCCTGGCATTTGACTGAGATACAGTAAAAACCACCTAGCCCCAAAAACCTACTACGAAAGTTGCGCCTGCTCACACTCAATTAAATCTGCAATATGAGCAAGCCACACTCAGCTCAGCTGTCACATGCAAATTCAGGCCTCCTCCCCTCCTAGTGCATTTGTGGGGATGTAAAGCTTACAAGTGCACCAAATGGGACTTTACCTCATGAATGTCAAAGTTCCGACAACTCCCAGCACAGGCCCAGCACCTGCAACGACGTCTGCACCACCTGCAAGCAACCATTGGACCATTTTTGCATTTCCCACCACTCTGGCGCAATGTGGGCCGAATATTGCCATGCAGTCAAGGTGCCCGCGCTTTTCGGAGAGAGGTCTATCCGCGGGAGGAAACCTGGACCAACGAGGCATTCGCACACTCGAGGTTGAAGTACTGTCCTCTGATCTGATTACATATCACCTCTTTGCCATGCAACCAAGGAAGCGACAAATGAATGGCACATGTTCAAGCACAAGCAGGCGTCATGTGGCTCACAGTTCTTGGGAAAGTCCAATCCAAGAGGTGAGCATGGCCGCGTGGTCCCCCTTTAGGTGAGGACTTGGTGTCGTGCGACTTTGGTTTAGCTGATGACTTCTGCTCGTGGCCCTTCCCACCCCTCGACATGGCCTGAGCCCTTGAAGTTGACAGTCGCCTGCCATGAACTTCAGCCGCAAAGCAACTCCACGAGGGCATGTCGTGGAGGCAACATTGGGATGCTCCAGAATGTAACTTATCAACTGCCAAGCCCATCACGACGCACTCGCGCTTCCCCGACATCGCAGGGCCTTGCCCATCTCCTCGGCTTTCTCGATCCCTGCAATGGGCGAGGCCAAGCACGCTTCCCCTCACGTGCCTTTGCTACACACTTGACGGAAGCATCCTGGGGCAAATACGCACGTAACAAATAAACAAATACATTATACCAAAGAGTAAGTTAACATACAAGCATACTGCGACGTGCGCATTGTGCGTATTGTGCGTAAGCCCCAGATTTCAGAAAGCGTGCGGCAGTGGAATGTCAAAGCAAAATTAATACCTAGCTGAAAGGGACTTACCCGGTCAGAGGAAAAAGGCAAAACACGGCGACCATGGGCCGAGAGACGGGATTGAGGCGGCGGCAACGACCCTTTCTGACAAGATCCTGGTCTTGCTTGACAGTGCAGACCGAAGCTACGTTGGAATGAGCAAAAAATGACTGGGGGATTGACGGTCGGCGCAAATAAAGCACACACGTTGCAACTTGAGAAGGGGGGTAAGTACCCAGGCGGTCGCAAGAATCAGAAGCGATGGGAAAAACACAGGAAAGCCGCGCTAAGGTTTGCAGCAGCTCCCTGCATACTGCGGATTTTCAAACCTGGCTTCTTGCCCTGTGAAACATATTGAGCTTCGCTAGGCTCTCTTCACCTGATTGTATTACACACAATCCCTGATTAGATCGTGTACCGCCTCCCCCACTTCTATCCTTGGGCTGGCCTGGCTACACTGTGCGTCAAACATCCGTTCCCTCCACTTACAAAACATAGTCGCCTGGGTATCGGGGTTACCGTCATGGTCCTCGTGCTTATGGGGGTCACCCCGTTTCCTGAGGAGAACAAAAAAGCTTTCCGAGTGCGGAAGTGCTGTTTTGTCGGATTTGTGCTGGGTTCAAACCTGTTAAACATATTTTTGTTGTATCGATGCAGGATTGGTTTAGTATTGGTTCCAAAATGTCCCCTGTGGCGACTGAGCGGGACATGTGCTGGTTTAGAGTTGGTTTGTTGTTGGCTAGTTGCGTTCTTGCTTTTGGAGATTTGAGGTCTGTGATGAACAATATCTATTAATTGGGGGGGCCTTCATTGCCAAAGCCAAGGGACTCTCGCCCCAAATGTCCATGGTCAACTTATACTACGGCTCATGGCCGATACTACCAGCTCTGGGTGGCGGCCGCCGACCTGGGTGCAAGCATGCAGGCTAAGAGAAAGCCCACACGTGGCCCACAAAGACAGACCTTTTTCTGGCATAGTTTGCAAAACCTGGACAGTGGAGTCTCTTCCAGCCCATTGGCTGCTATGAAAATTCAATGCTTCACATTGACTACGCAGACAACTCTGCAAACGCTCCGCTGGCTGTGTAGCAAGGTGAGCTTAGCCCCTCAAAAATCAGGTTCCTCCAGGTTTCCTGTCCAACCACGCGGTGCTCGGGTGCCAAACCCTGTGTGATACACAGACCCAGCTGGCTAGTGCGAGCCCAGCAGGGCATGCGCTGGGGGTGAGACCTGATGCCAAGAACTACTTTGCATGATGTGAAAGGAGGATAGCCCGCGCTGTGGCGGGCTTACAAAGCGGTGAAGTGCAAATTACAAATTACACAGTGGCGAGCGATACAAGAAACGCTAAGCTAAACTCGGCACTGCAAATGAGATGCTGTAAAACGAGCAGGGGAAGAAAAAAAACGTGGTTTTCGATATTGCAAACTCGACTAATGGGACATTGCAAGAGGGACCATCCCCAAACTGTGGCCAAATTCAGGGCAATGCCTGCATCCTCCTTGCGATACGTTCGTGGCCAGTTGACCCCACAATCAAACGCTAGCCTTTTGAATCCTTTCGATATCTTCGGGTGTCATGGCTAAACATAAGGTCACATCCCGTCGCGAGTTTAGCGAACGCAGCTTTGCACACTAGGCAGCTACGTGCAGTTATCGCAGCCCAGCAGCTCAGGACCTCGGCCCGCTTCCTGTGCTCTCTCTTTCTGGGCCTGGTCACAATCCTGGAGTGCGAAGCAAAAAGCACGATATGCCAGGGTCCTTGCTGCGCCTTCGAACCAGTCTGTCCAAATGGGGCTTTTTTTTAGAACGTGGGCCAAGGCGTGGGTGAACAAAATGGTTGCAATCAACATCTTAAGTTTGGGAATGGCCACTGTTTTGAGCTTGCTCTGAAGCTGCAAGATTTGAAACCCTTTCATTGTCAGAAAGGCCAGGCTGGATTCGAACTGTAATTGCCACATGACGACCTGTGAAATGATGTAACACTCCAACCGTGGCCCAGATTTCATCAACCTGCGACTCGGCATCTTGAGCCTGAGGAAACAATTGGATCCAAGCAGCCGGCCGACCCAACCACGATGCACGATTGTCTCAATCATCAAAGCTACCAGCAGGTTGTTCCTTCTCGGTGTGGTGGAATCTCGAACAAGGCTCCAGGCCCGAACCCTGAACCAGGTCCTAAATGAAGCGTGGCCACACTTGACACGGCGAAACCCATGCTGCTGAAGCCCTCCAGCTGAACCAGCAACAGAAACCTGGCTACCAACAAGCCGGCGAGCCAGCCAGCCGTTAAGGAACAAAACACAACTTGTTCTCTTCAACCAAGCGATTCGCCCTCTCGGGTCCTGTGAGTCCGGAAATTTCACGCCGTTGCTCCAAATCATACTGGCGAATGCTGTCCGGCACCGCTGGGTAGGCCTGCCAACACCCATGCGCTGACCCTGATTCCGGGATTCTGGGCAGTGCGCTGCTTAGGCGGGTTTGCGCCTAAACCAACCCTCAAAAGGGCACCCTCAACAACAAACACACACGAGAATAGCCATAACAGGCACAGGGTCCAACCAACTTCTCAGGTCTTCCTGGTTTGGATCATTGTTCCCAGGTACGTCGTCTTTGGGACATGTTCAAAAGATTTCAGCATGGCATGTGAGCCTCTTCGTTGGATGGGACCTAGAATCCACCGGCCATTCCCCTGCTGGGCAGAAAAGTGTAAGCCGAATTCGGCGGCAATAAAGTAAAGGTACAACGGAAAACCCTTGATCCAGGGGGCCCCCAAACACACAAAAGCCACGTTGGGCAAGGTTCCTCTTAGCGGTGGTCAAAATTGAGTTTCCCTTTCTGGGCCAGCTCAACAACTGATAACCCTAGCACTGTATTTGTTGCATGGAATAGATTCTGTTCAGTTGTCATCCTCACCGCATCCGGTTTTGTCTTTTCAGGGTCGGGTCAGGGTCTGATTGCATTTGAAAAGTAGGGCCCAGGGCAGCTCCCTCAACGGCCTGAAGCACGGAGACATGTCAAAACGAATCCAGTGGTGACACGTCACACAAACACGCCAACTTGAATGGAAGTTGGTCCTGAACATACCGTGTCCAACTCTGAGGGAGTCAGCTTGGTATCATGTTACGCCGGCAACGAGGCAAATTTCCAATTGCCATCCGGGTCTTCCAATTGATGCTGAGAAATCTCGCCCAAAACGAGGGAAGGGACACGAGAGCATGCCAAATTCAACATCTGGTAGCTGTTTACTTGCCCCTGCCCCCTAGGCCCCTTACTGCGTGAAACTCGTTGCGCTCACGCTTGATGTAGCGAAGCTCCTCACAGCGGCAAGCAGTAAAGTACCCTGGGAGCGAAGGGCAAGGAGGGAAAAAGCGGAAAGGTGAAGGCCAAACCTTCAGGCTTTGATATATAGTCATTCCATCCTATGATGGGTTGTTCCATGCGGCCTCTAAAGTTGGTTAACACACCAGGGCAACACACCGGTCCAAGCGTACATAGATATTCCAATGCGACAACTAGAAATCCCTGTACTCTCCAAATGTTGCCTTGTCAACTGGCTCTCCGGAAGCCCAAATTGAAAGAAGGAAGCTGAAAATGCCCCTTGGCTTAGGGAGGCGGGTGGAGGGATTGGTTTCTTGTCAGAACGGTACTTTGCTTCTGCCCTCCGGAAGCGGGGCCTCAACCCACAGGGCCAACGAAAGAAACTCAAGAAGCACTCCCAATTGCATTCTTGAAGACACAAATTCGGCCAGGGCGCATCCAAGATTTGGTAGTAGATCTCCACCATGACAGCGTACAGGAAAACCAGCAGGATCAGGTAAGTGAAGGTTTTGGTCCAAACACTTGGATGCACAGAGTTCCACTGATCCACGAAGAAATTTGATGTAACCTCACACACATTCATCCAGGCCCAGCCCACCGTCAGCGACATAGCCTAAGCTCAAGGAGCCGCGGACTGGGTCTGATGGCTTGGTCCTAACGATCCTCTCCAATGAATATGGGGGTGCTCCCCTCCGAAAGTGATGAACCCGCAAAACCATGGGCGCCCCCAAATTAAGAAACAGGGGTTGATTCATAGGGGGGGTCTTGCCACTCTTGGCCAATTGCATTGACTGTGCCATCCTTCCAATTTCCCTTCCCAGGCAAACCAGGCCCGCGGGCTTAATCATTGACAGCTGAAGAGCATGCAAACCTGGACCTGCAATACCTCAACGTTGGCGAGCCTTGAGTTTCTTCGCCTCCTCAAAATTTATCCTGTGAGAACCGTTCATGAATCCCGAAAGTAGGTCTGAGAAATCTTGTGGTTGGGAGCACCCCTATCGAAAGACTTATTCGGAAGCCCCGAACCTCCCTCGCCAAGCAGCATTGATCATCAAGGTGCGGTAGGATTTGCTCTCTGGACGGCGGTACTCTTGCAGGCCTCGGCTGCTCTCAACAAATGTCCCTTAAGGAAGATGTGTGGCAGCGGAAAGCTAGTGGGATGAACCCGGCTGCCCTCATTGCCCGACGGCGGCCAAAAACATCTGGTGGCTGCACAGGCCATTGACAACGTGCTGTTTTTCCCCAATCAGCAAAGCCTTAGCCAAATGCTGGACCAAATGCACAACTTCTGGTCCATGACAACAACTAGAATCAATGCGGAACTGGCAAAGCAGCATGAATATGTGTGGAAAGCTGACCTGCCCTTCCATCATTGCCGAGGCACTCAGTGTCTTGATATATGATCCTTGGATGGGAGTTCTGAAAGGATTCAAGCCCTCCTGAGACCCGCCGTTCAGAGTTGTTGTTACC